CACATGCACTAACAAACACACATACACGCACATACACACCACAAGCATGTTGCTCAAGCAAAATCTTTAGCATATTTAAGAAGAGAATTTATTTTTAAGTCAGTTAAGTATTTGAATGTGACTTCAACAAATTGTAATAATGAATCCTATTTGAACATGCACAGATATGAAATGTTAAGTTTTTATTTGATATCATTTTTTCTTTAGCCAATATCAAAGACACAAAGAGTGTATCAGATGCTGAGGGCATCAAAGAAAAAGGTAAGACAATAAGCTTGGGACAATTTAGCAGGAATTCATTTACCACATTTGAAAATGTAAACACACAGATGGACTTTAGGAGGAGACTCTGACGCAAAAAAACACCGAGTTTAAATTCTCAGTTCAGTGATCTAAATCTTTGAATGTATCTATGACATTGTTAAGTAATGTATTGAATTCTTGTTGTGCACAGGTATGAAATGTTTCATTTGTTTTCCTGTTTTTCTTCAGTCAATATCAATGACACAACAACTGTGAAAGCAGACGTGAAGGAGAGAGGTAAGACAGTAGGGTCAATAGAATAGTAGGGTCAATATTTATTACACTGATGGAATGTGATTGTGCATGTACACACACACACACACACACACACACACACACACACTCCTTATGTTGTGCCAACACAGTTTGTGCTTTTGGCAAGTTTAAAATAATATTGGCAGAATTGTTTATTCCAAATACTGGTGAAAGTGTTTCATTGAAGCTTCATACGTGAAATATGGTGTTGCACTGACTTATTGAACATTTCATACTTTTGCCTCTTAGTAAGTAATATTGTATTATACATTTCAGCTCCAAAGAATCGCCGCCAATCTAGGTGGAGGAGGGTATTGAATCTGTTCACGTCTTGCTTCATACAGAGGGCACGAACATAAATGGTTATTATTATTATTATTATTAATCAAATAATTCTAAACTCTTCAGACATTAAGAAATGAAGAAAAGTCAGTATTTTTAAAAGCATACATTTATTATACATTCACAGAGAAGTTCTTTTTGTTTGTCTCTTTGTTTTGATGGTATCATAACTAAGTAAGCTTTTAGTTTTCTTAGAGGAAAACTATGTCAAACAGCTGGTAAAACTGTACATTAAAGCAGTAAATTAACTACATCACAGCAGCCAGGAGCTGGTGGTTGTATAGAGTTACTGTCAACATCTATTAACACCTAACTGAATACACATTTTATTGAATTATATTTTAAAATTTAATCTTTTATTTTTTTAGGGTTGTCAGTGCAGAACTTTCATTGCCTCTGTAGAAGCCAGTTAAAAACTGCAAAATGCCATTCTCTTAATTTTACAATAAAATATTAATTTTTTGTAATCAAATGAGTTTTGTTTTTCATTTCTTAATTGAGAGTACCGTTGGGGAGGGGTAATCACGGTTCATGGGAAATAAAATCATTAATGTACAAATCACAGTAAATAAAACTTAATTTGTATCCCACTGACAATGCTAGTTGAAAATCCTGAAAATTACCAATTATCGAGTATAAGGCTTTGTTTCACGAAGGGCAAGAATAAAAAGCCGCATTTTTGAGTCATGTGAATTAGTTGCTTCATGGATCATGCTAAATAATGTGGACATTTCACGCATCTCATGGAAATAAAAAGTGACTTTAACTGGTAACAAAATACCCAAGAGACTCTTTTAATTAATTTTTTTATCAACCAAAGAAATAAACAATACATGGTACAAATTTTTAACTATATTTAAATATATACATAAATACTCATACTCACACACATGTACCCTATCATACGGCTCAATTATTGATAACTTTTATATTCCAGTATGTTCATGTTTAAATACAAAAGATACTTAGTTCAAACTCCTAGGAATTTACTTGAAAAGTAAACTTGCTTTAAACAAAAATGGTTTTCTAGATCACTTGCAACTTTTACAGATAATGAGCCCGTTGTAATTAACTTTTATGCGTGTAATATTGAGAGTATTTTTATCTGTTGGCTACAGTGGAGGAACAGCAAAACATCCCAACGTTATTAACATTGCCAGTAAAATAATTGGTAGATAGATCCCCCAACTGGATGGTATTATTAAAGACAGAATGAAGAAATCAACAAAATGAATTGTGGAATCCAACCCACCCAGGGAATTCTCTTTTTAAATTTTTATCCAGCAATAGTAGGCTTCTGACTTTTAAGGGCAGTAAATAGTTTAAAGTAGTTTTTTTTGGTCTCTCTTTAATTCCACTTTTAGGCCTAGTTCATAATTTTTTATTGTCCAGTGTTTTATCTTAGTTTTATCTCTCAAAGGATAACAATTACCGATATTTATATTAAAATATTTTTATTGGCTGAATAAATTCTTACTTTATCTTATCTTACTTGCACTATTGCTGTAGCCATGTTACATGTATTATCATAAAAAAGGTACTGTAAATAGCGGCGACAAGTTCTTTTTTTAACACAATTCCTTTTCTGTCATTTTGCAAAATGATAAAAGGATTTAAAATCTTTTACAACACCTTGCTGCGGTACGATCTTTTTTCTCTTTTACACACAGTACGCTTTAAAATATGTGCTCGAAGTAGCTACATCTCTTTACTTTTCTTGTCCCAAATGTACCCATAAAGTATGATAAGCGCAGGTGTTGACTCGATTTTCGTGTTCATCGAAAGACTTACTAAAACAAAGAGAGAGGGAAATGTTAGAATTATTTTTCTATACAACGCACGTGAGTGCGCCCGCACGCAAACACACACATAGGCCTACAGCCAGGCAC